TGGAATTCCCTTCTTTGTCTTTTTGATCTTTGTTGGTTGAAAGTCTGTTTTATCAGAGATTAGGATTGCAACCCCTGCTTTTTTTTTTTTCTTTCCATTTGCTTGGTAAATCTTCCTTCATCCCTTTATTTTAAGCCTATGTGTGTCTTTGCACACACGTGTGTCTTTGCACATGAGATGGGTCTCCTGAATACAGCACACCAGTGGGTCTTGACTTTTTATCCAGTTTGCCAGCCTTTGTCTTTTAATTGGAGCATTTAGCCCATTTACATTTATGGTTAATATTGTTATGTATGAATTTGATCCTGTCATCATGATGCTAGCTGCTTATTTTGTATATTAGTTGATAGTTTCTTCATAATATTGTTGGTCTTTATATTTTGGTATCTCTTTGCAGTGGCTGGTACCAGGTTTTCCTTCCCATATTTAGTGCTTCCTTCAGGAGCTCTTGTGAGGCAGACCTGGTGGTGACAAAAATCCCTCAGCATGTGCTTATCTGTATAGGATTTTATTTCTCCTGCACTTATGAAACTTAGTTTGGCTGGATATGAAATTCTGAGTTGAAAATTCTTTTCTTTAAGAATGTTGAATATTGACCCCTACTCTCTTCTGGCTTGTAGGGTTTCTGCAGAGAGATCTGCTGTTAGTCTGATGAGTTTCCCTTTCAAGGTAACCTGATTTTTCTCTCTGGCTGCGCTTAACATTTTTTTTCTTCATTTGAACCTTGGTGAATCTGATGATTATGTATCTTGGGGTTGCTCTTCTTGAGGAGTATCTTAGTGGTGTTCTCTGTGTTTCCTGAATTTGGATGTTGGCCTGTCTTGCTAGATTGGGGAAGTTCTCCTGTATAATATCCTCAATTGTGTTTTCCAACTTGGTTCCATTCTCCTCGTCACTTTCAGGTACACCAACATAGGTTTGGTCTTTTCACATAGTCCCATATTTCTTGGAGGCTTTGTTCATTCCTTTTCATTCTTTTTTCTCTAACCTTGTCTTCATGCTTTATTTCATTAAGTTGATCTTCAATTTCTGATATCCTTTCCTCCACTTGATCGATTCGGCTATTGATACTTGTGTATGCTTCATGAAGTACTCGTGCTGTGTTTTTCAGTTCCATCAGGTCATTTATGTTCTTATACAAAATAGATATTCTAGTTAGCAGTTCCTATAATCTTTTATCAAGGTTCTTAGCTTGCTTGCATTGGGTTAGAACATGCTCCTTTAGCTTGGAGGAGTTTGTTATTACCCACCTTCTGAAGCCTGCTTCTGTCAATTCCTCAAACTCATTCTCTGGCCATTTTTGTTCCCTTGCTGGCAAGGACTTGTGATCTTTTGGAGGAGAAGAGGCATTCTGGTTTTTGGAATTTTCAGCATTTTTGCACAGGTTTCCCCTCATCTTCATGGATTTATCTACCTTTGATCTTTGATGCTGATGACCTTTGGATGGGATTTTTGTGTGGGTATGCTTTTTGTTGATGTTAATGTTATTGCTTTCTGTTTGTTAGTTTTCCTCTCTTCTAGAGGTCTGCTGGAGTTCACTGGAAGTCCACTCCAGACCCTGTTTGCATGGGTATCACTAGCAGAGGCTGCAGAACAGTAAAGATTGCTGCCTGTTCTTTCCTCTGGAAGCTTCGTCCCAGAGGGGCACCTGCTGGATTCCAGCCAGGGCTTTCCTCTCTGAGGTGTCTGCTGACCCATGCTGGGAGGTGTCTCCCAGAGAGGAGGCACAGGGGTCAGGGACCCACTTGAGGAGGCAGTCTTTCCCTTAGCAGAGCTTGAGCACTCTGTTGGGAGATCTGCTGCTTTCTTCAGAGCAGGCAGGCAGGAACATTTAAGTCTGCTGAAGCTGTGCCCACAGCCACCCCTTCCCTGGTGCTCTGTCCCAGGGAGATGGGAGTTTTATCTCTAAGCCCCTAACTGGAACTGCTGCCTTTCTTTCAGAGATGCCCTGCCCAGAAAGGAAGAATCTAGAGAGCCAGTCTGGCTATAGTGGTTTGCCGTGCTGTGGTGGGCTTTGCCCAGTTCAAACTTCCTGGAGGCTTTGTTTACCCTGTGAGGGGAAAACAGCCTACTCAAGCCTCAGTAATGGTGACGCCCCTCCGCCCACCAAGCTCAGGCATCCCAGGTTGACTTCACACTGCTGTGCTGGCAGTGAGAATTTCAAGCTAGTGGATCTTAGCTTTCTGGGCTCCGGGGAGATGGGACCTGCTGAGCAAAACCACTTGGCTCCCTGGCTTCAGCCCCCTTTCCAGAGGAGTGAACAGTTTTATCTCCCTGGGGTTCCAGGCGCCACTGGGGTATGAAAAAGAACTCCTGAAGCTAGCTCAGTGTCTGCCCAAACGGCCACCCAGTTTGGTGCTTGAAACCCAGGGCCCTGGTGCTGTAGGCACCCTAGGGAATCTCCTAGTCTGCTGGTTCCAAACACCATGAAAAAAGTGTAGTATCTGGGCTGGATAGCACAGTCCTTTATGGCACTGTCCTTCACGGCTTCCCTTGACTAGGGGAGGGAGTTCCCTGATACTTTGCACTTCCCAGGTGAGGCAATGCCCTACCCTGCTTCTGCTCACTATCTGTGGGCTGCACCCACTGTCTAACCAGTCCCAATGAGATGAACTGGACACCACAGTTAGAAATGCAGAAATCACCCGCCTTCTGCATTGGCCTCACTGGGAGCTGCAGACCAGAGCTGTTCCTATTCAGCCATCTTGCTGAGTTATCCTCTTGACTCTCTTTAGTATAGATCTTTCGGTGGTCAGCTGTCTCTGGTTTTGTTTGTTTGTTTGTTTTTAGTTTTTTGTTTTTTTGGGACAGAGTCTTGTGCTGTCACAGGCTGGAGTGCAGTGGTGTGATCTCAGCTCACTGCAACCTCCGCATCCTGGATTCAAGTGATTCTCCTGCCTCATCCTCCTGAGTAGCTGGGACTACAGGCGCACGCCACACTGCACAGATAATTTTTATATTTTTAGTAGAGACAGAGTTTCACCATGTTGGCCAGACTGGTTTCGAACTCTTGTCCTCAAGTGATCCACCTGCCTCAGCCTCCCAAAGTGCTGGGATTACAGGCGTGAGCCACAACTCCCAGCCAACTCTCTCTTTTTAATTGTTAAGAATGTATGCCTCTTGAAAAAAAAAATGATTATCCTGTATACATAGTCCTGGGAATCTATTTTTCTCAGCTCTTTCAGCATAGTATTTTGCTACTTTCTGCCTTTTATTATTGTTCTTAAGGAGTCTGTTATTGGTATGTCATTTCTTTATGCATGATGTATCTTTTCTCTCAGGCTGCTTTTACATTTTACTCTTTGTTTGGCATTCTACAGTTTTACTACAGTGTGTCTAGGTGTGACCTTTTAAAAAATCCTGTTTGGTATGCATTCTAATTATTGTATCTCAGTTCTGTCAAACATTTATAGCTGTTATCCTTAAATATCACCTCTCCTTCATTCTCTTTACTCTTGCCTTTAGGGTCTCCAATTATATATATTTTAAGGCATTTTATCTAATCCTCCATGTCTTTTAACTTCTCTTTTATGTTCTCATCTCCTTGTCTCTTTCTGCTGCATTCTGGGTAATAACATCAGATCTGCCTTCCAGTTTTCTAAGTCTTCAAATAAGTCCAAATAAGTCCTGTTGTTTACCCTATCCATTGAACCTTTAATCTTAGTGATTAAATTTTTCACTTCTAAAAGTTCTATTTGGTTCCTTTTCAAATCTGCCTGGTAATTTTCATAATGCCTGCTACAGAGATCCAGTTGAAAAATTAATTAACGTTTTGAACTGTCCATTTACAGACATATCAAACTGAATCACTAATAAACACATGATTGAAAAATCTCAACCCCATTCATAAATGAACTGCAAGTTAAAATAGCAGTGAAATGTCTTTCATAACCATAAGGGAAAAATGCAATAGGCTTGATAATACCAAATGATTAATTTGTGCCAGCATGTAGGGAAATAAAAACTTTTACATATTGTCATGGCAGTGTTAATTGGTAAGACCATTTGGAGAGTGATGTGACAATTTGAAGGTATTTGAAGATATCCTTCACCCCAGCAGTTCCCCTTCTAGGTATCTAGCCTGTGGGAAAATCTCACACATGTGCTACAAGTGACATGTAAAGGAAACATTAATTGCAGCATTATCTGTAGTAGTGAAAAAAATGGGAATAGTCTAAATGTCCCTCAATAGGAAAATAGATAACTAAATCGTGGTTTATTCAAGCACCTCAGTAACTAAACTAGTACCAACATAGATATCCAAAGTATAGTGTTGAAAGAAAGAATTTCCAAAGGATACAGGTCCATTGCCATAATGTGAATATTGAAAACACGCATACAAAATTTATGTATTGTTTATGGATACATACATATATACAAAAGTATAAAACATACATCTCTAGTTGAACCATAACAGAAACAAAAGCATATCAGGCAAAATGTTGACACCTTTTTAATCTAGATAATCAGTATGTAATGGTTATATTCTTTTCTGTACTTTTTATAATTAAATACGAAAATAATTTTTTAAAGATTTAGACTTTGTACTTTTTCCATGATTTATCACTTGTGCTGAGAGAGAATGTAGAGATCTTATTTTGAAAATTCCTCAGTTAATTCTTGTGCCAGGCTGGGCACAGTGACTCACACCATAATCCCAGCATTTTAGGAGGCTGAGGTAGGAGAATTGCTTGAGCCCAGGAATTAAAGACCAGCCTGAGCAACATGGCAAAACCCCATCTCTACAAAAAACACAAAAATTAGCCAGGTGTGGTGGGGTGTGCCTGTAGTCCCAGCTACTTGGGAAGCTGAGACAGGAGGATTGCTTGAGCCCAGGAGTTTGAGGGTGCAGTGAGCTGTGATCATGCCACTGTACTCCAACCTGGGTGACAGAATGAGACCCTGTCTCTAAAAAAGAAAGAAAGAAAAAAATACTTACACCAAATGTGATTTATTGAGGATTCCATGTATGTCTGAAGTCTCTGGTTCCTTCAAATCAGGATGCTGCTCCAACGGAGTCTTTACTGAACTGGCAAGACTACGAGGGTCGAACTCCTCTTCACTTTGCAGTTGCTGATGGGAATGTGACCGTGGTTGATGTCTTGACCTCATATGAAAGCTGCAATATAACGTCTTATGATAACTTATTTCGAACCCCACTGCACTGGGCAGCTTTATTAGGTATGTGACTCAAAGGATCAACAGTAGATGAAACTGCATGAGTATAGGAATATTTCTAAGCCTTCCCTTCCACTGTTCGCTCCCAACTCGTAGTTAATTATTTTGATTTCTAACTGATATGTTGCATTGTTTTATAAACTAAATTATAGTAATATAAATTTATTTTCTGTTAAATATTAGTTTGAATTTCAACATGTCTTAACTTTAAATTTTTGTTATAAAAGTAATTCATGTTTATTGACAACATGTAAATGTAACATAAACCTCTTTTCATATTCAGCGCCTATATTTTTGGGGAGGAGGGCTTTAATTTTATGTTTGTGCTAATACTATGATATTTGAGTTTTTTTCTTTATATTTTCCTGAAATGCCTTTTACTTAACCTTTTTGAAGATCACTTTTATAGATGAGAGAGGGTATATATGTGTATGTTTTATGTGTATGTTGGATTTTTGTGTGTGTGGAGTCAATCTGAGAGTCTTTCTCTTTCAGTGAAGGAGTTTTACCCATTAGTAGTCATTGTTATAAGATAAATAATCAGGACTTTTTTTTTCCTGCTATCCTGGTATTATTAGTGTTTTCAGTTTAACATTTTTTATTTGTTTGTTTGTTTTGTTTTGTTTCCTGTTTCCTTTACTTTCTACTCTTTGGTACATGGATTAGATTTGTTGTTGCTATTTGGTTTTGAATTGCCTAATGTTTTAGAAGGATTTAGGTTCTATTAGTGGTTACTTTTAAATTTATCAAAAACTTTTTAAAGCCTGAATCAGAGTCAAGAGCAAAAATGCGTCTATTGACTCCCACCTATTTGAGGCAGAAAATTTAGCACAGATACTCATCACTCTTTTAGTACTTGTTAATATAATCTGAGATTTCCCCCTAATTATTATAATCTTGATCTTAATTTTTAAATTACACATTATCTTTTTTTAAAAAATGGCGTTTATGTGTGCACCCACTTTTATTGCCAGATTTATAATTATTAGTCAGATTTCATCTTACATCCCTTTTTCTTTTTCCTCTGGATTCTGGGCTTACTTGGCAAATTTGTCTCCACATAACTAAATTGACTTTTTGTTCTGTAAGTTTTGCTTTCTTTCTGCCTCCTATATAGATTGTATTTTGGGTTATATTTTTATTTCCTTGTCTTACCTATATTTATTTTTATCTCATTTCATTTCCTTTTAACTTCCTTCCATTACTTTTTCATTTCACTCTGTTTTCTTCTTAGAATACCCTGTTTCTGTTTCGTAGAAGCCATCTCTTTTTGCACTAAGTCGAGGATACCAGTTTCCTGAAATTTTCCTCTGGATCCTTCTCTAGATCATTTTCAGAGGTATGCTGTTTATCTTTCTGACAGTGCTTCTTTTTCACTTTCCTGTAGTATGTTTTTATGTAGTCTTTACTGAATTTTTCCCTTTATTTCTCAAACAAAATGAAATGTGTTTAGAGTAACTATGTGGTACAGATTGTCTTTGATCCCACATTTATATTATGGAGAACTCCATCTTAGACCACTTCTGGAGAGCAGATAGATGAGCACAACTTCCACTCAAATTACTTTTTTCTGCCTGGCTTTTATGCAGTATATCCTTGCTCTGCTAATGGGGCATCTTCTTCATTCTCCAATATCTGAAAGCAATAGAGTATATAAAATTTCAGGTTTCCTATATATACTACTACCAGGTTTGTTCATTTTTTAGTATTTTCTATAGCTCTTCACTTGTGGAGATCACATCCACCAGAATGCACTATATTATCTTCATTGCTGCCTCATCATGCCTGCCCACTTGTTTTCTGAGATTTGAAATCACTGCCTAGATGTTATAAAATATAAATATAATAAAAGATTGTGGGAAGGAGAATATAGGGATGGGAGGCCTCAGAGATAGAAGAGGTTGTATTATAGTTTGTCCACCTGAATAGAAGACAACAGCTATGCAGTTCTGTTTGGTTGGGCAATGGAACCTTGAGAGTAGGAGCAGTGAAGGCTAAGAGAGCTTGGTTCTAAAGCACCTTCCCCTCTTTTGCTTTAGGCAGCTTTATAAAGTGAAGGGAATGCGATGAGGTGATGCCTAATATAGTTTTTTCTCAGTCTGATAAGTATACTTAATTCATTCCTACCTGATTGAAGCATTAAGTTTTTAGTAAGTTTTCATTCTGTTCTACCTCATATTAATATGTTAGTGAGAAGTTAGAAGAGGCTGCATTGGGGGCTGCTGTTCAGAAACCATTGTGAATGCTGTATTGTGTGTCAGTGAATTTTCTTACCTTTTTCATTTAAATAGATTATAAATTAATTAACGTCCTTTATAAGTGATAATTACCTTTTTGTGTCTTTTCTCAGGCCATGCACAGATTGTCCATCTCCTTTTAGAAAGAAATAAGTCTGGAACTATCCCATCTGACAGCCAAGGAGCCACACCTTTGCACTATGCTGCTCAGAGTAACTTTGCTGTGAGTAAAACAAGACAATGCTCTTTTTTTCTTAGTGAAAATTTTTATTTTTATATAATCACAGATTCATATGTAGTTGTAGGAAATAATACAACAAGATTTCATGTACCCTTCACCTAGTTCACTCTTTTTTTTTTTCTTTATTTTTCCAATAAGCTTTTTGCACTCCTACACCTAATTCACTCTAACAGTAACATCCAATACAATATCATAAACAGGAAATTGACAGTGATACAATCCACTGATCTTATTCAGCTTTTCCCAGATTTACTTAGACTCATTTGTCTGTTTTTATGTATCAGTTACCTTTTAACAATGGTTCATGCTGTTCACTCTGTGATGCAAGTGATAGTCTAAGGTTTTTTTTGTTTTTTTTGTTGTTAGTCACATCTGAAGTTTTATACAGTTTTTATTTTAATGTTAAGCGTAACATTTTACTTTACAGTAAGAGTACTTCATCTTTGTATTACTTTTATAGCACTAAGAACATCTTAGTGTTCAGCCATGTGTAATTGTCCTTAAAGCAGTGTGGCAAGGCTTTGGAACTAGAACAATCTCAGCTAGAATCCTGTCTGTGCAGTTTGCTAAACTGCATTATTACCTTACACAAGTTTCTTAATCTTAGTTTCTTCATATGTAAGATGAGGATAATTATACCTTTTCTTTCAGGATTGTTGTAAAGATTAGAGAAAATTTATGACAAGTGCCTGCTGTATACCTTGGCATACAGCACGTACTCAAGAAATAGAATGTACTCTCATTACTGTTAGTGTAGATAATTATGTATATTATACATCTGAGAATGCGAAAATGAATTATTTCCAAAAATACTTAATATTATTCATAGTTCTTCCCCTCCCCTTTCTCATCCATTATGTCCCCAGTCCACCCCGCAACATGATAGTGTCTAGGCTACTTCAGCTTCCTGAGTATGAATGGCCATCAAGAACCAGATTCATCCAAGAATGCACACGTTAAAACAGATTTTGCTGCCTTCTACATGGATATGCATAGTGAAACCCTTAGTTTCATTAAATTATAATAATACTATCAGGTCAGGCATGGTAGCTCACACCTGTAATCCCAGCACTTTGGGAGGCCGAGATGGGCAGATCACCTAAGGTCTGGAGTTGGAGAACAACCTGGCCAACATGGTGGAAACACTGTTTCTACTAAACATACAAAAATTAGCCAGGCAAGGTGGCTGGTGCCTGTAGTCCCAGCTACTTGGGAGGCTGAGGGAGGAGAATCGCTTGAACCTGGGAGGCGGAGGTTGCAGTGAGCCAAGATAGTGCCACTGCACTCCAGCCTGGGTGACAGAGCAAGACTTCATCTCAAAAATAAATAAATAAATAAATAAATAATACTATCATCAAGCATAGTATAATTTCATCTTCGTGACCTCTCCAAATGCTCTGTTAAATACTCAGATCTCTAAAATATCTTATCTTCACACTCTTCCCGACTCTGGTATCCAGAACAACTATTCCTCTAATCCTTGCTTCTTGGTATTCCTAACAACTTATTCAATTTACCACCTAGAGGTTTGACAAATCATATCTGTTATCACCTAACAAAGCAGTATTTTTGGAGAAGGTTTTTTTTTTATTACAAATAGGTAGGAAATTAACTTGACCCAGCCTAGTCAATCTATGGAAATCACAGCTCAACCCATAAATCAACACAAGGCTATTAGATGTGTTATCCCCTGTTTATAGAAAACAAAACAAAACAAAGCAAGGTTCCATGAGATTAAATGACTTGCTCATGGGCTTTAACCCAAAACTTAGACTCCAAATTTAATATATATACAGACACCAATAATTAAATAGGTATGCTAATGGAAACAAGAAAGAATGGTAGAACATTATTCTTTATGATGATTCAATAATATGATATAATAATTTTATTCAAAGAAATATTTTGTTGGATAATCTGCCAATTCCAGAGTTGATTTTTAATAATTATATAAATTATGTAAGCTCAGTTTCAAGTCCCTTGATTTCATTGTCGTCTAATAACTGACGAGAAATTACAACTCGCTCCTTGAAAAATATGGACACATTCCCCTACACATACAGAGCCCTGTAAACATTCATCATTAAGTAAAAACATACTCAGCAAAGAAATGTTTGCAAATTAGTAAAAGAAAACAAAGCAAAAAATCACAAACTTTTAAAATTCATTTCTTGACTCAAATATATTTAATATGCTTAATAAACATATACATTAGACTTTAGGAACAGTAAGTTATTATACCTCAGTAACTCAACAAATAGTCTTAAAAGTAGAAAGCAGTGTGTGATGCTGTGGAAGGAGTGCTGTTATTTAACCCTGGATTCTTCCTTTATCTGCCACCAATATTTATATGACCTTGGAACCTATATTTCTTCATCTGTAAAATAAGGAACTGGATTAGATGAGCTCTTGAATTCTTCTTTCTGTAAAATACTGAGAGTCAACATTTTATACATTTTTCATCAGCTCATAGCCTCCAGCATTTTTTGTCTGAAACTCTTTTACTTCAATTCAATCAAAAGTTTCTATGGTCTTTCTAAAAGTTTATATGAGTCTGAGTTCTGAGGAAAGAAGCAATTTAAAATGCTGGAATATTAACCCCCATTAAAATTGTGAGGCACCAATAGAATTGTCAAAGGTCCTAATTTTTGTTGTTGTTGTTGTTTTTGGTTTTTTTTTGGTTTTGTTTTTGTTTTTATTTGAGATGGAGTCTCACTCTGTTGCCTAGGCTGGAGTGCAAGGATGTGATCTCGGCTCACTGCAACCTCCGTCTCCCAAGTTCAATCAATTCCCCTGCCTCAACCTCCCAAGTAGCTGGGACTACAGGCACGTGCCACCGTGCCTGGCTAATTTTGTTATATTTTAGTAGAGACAGGGTTTCACCATGTTGGCCAGGATGCTCTCAATCTCCTGACCTTGTGATCCGCCCGCCTCAGCCTCCCAAAGTGCAGGGATTACAGGTGTGAGCCACTGCATACGGGCCAGTCCTAATTTTTGTGTGATTCCATAGAAGAAGGACAATTCAGTAATAAAGGAATTGCTGAATAAATATTTGTTTTAATGAATTGAGCACTGCATTTCTCAGTAACCATCAATCAGTATTCAATAAATGCATTAACTATTTAAAAAATGTTTAGTAACTAATCACATAATTCCAGTTTGTTCCTGGATTTAAGGCAAAAGCAAACAAACAAAAAACAGTGAGAGAATGCAGAACCTTCTCTGGAGGCATGCCTGAATAGATGGGTCTCATGTAAAATGTCCAAGAAAACATGTGTTTTATGGCCGAGTACAGTGGTTCATGCCTGTAATTCCAGCACTTTGGGAGGCCAAGATGGATGGATCACTTGAGGTCAGAAGTTCAAGACCAGCTGGGCCAACATGGTAAAACCCCATCTCTACTAATAATACAAAAATTAACCAGGTGCGGTGACACTCAGCTACTCAGGAGGCTAAGGCAGGAGAGTTGCTTGAATGCAAGAGGCGGAGGTTGCAGTGAGCCGAGATTGCACCACTGCACTCCAACCTGGGCAACAGAGTGAGACTCCCTCAAGAAAGAAAGAAAGAAACAAAGAAAGAAAGAAACAATGAAAGAACAAAAGAAGGAAGGAAGGAAGGGAGGGAGGGAGGGAGGGAAGAGAAGAGAAGAGAAGGGAAGAGAGAAGAGAGAAATAGAAAGAAAGAAAATATTTAAATTTTGTTCATTAATAAATAAAACACTGAATAATTCTGAGTTTTGCAACTGTCACTCAAACAATGACCTATAAAGTTTCCAAGCTTGATTGAAGATGATTACTTTCCATTTTGAGGATGTTGAATGGGAGAGAGAGGTTATGTTTGTGAAGTGTTACAGACACTACAACTAATTTGTAAGGACAGAGGTTATCTTCGATGAAAATTGTAGTTCTGTCATTAATAAAAAGATAATTTAATTTAATTCAAAAGCAAGGGGAAAATGCTTTGCTTCTTAATGGAAGTCACATATTATTATATGACTTTATTACCATAGAAAATACTACTGTTTTGTCTCCATTTTTTAAATCAAGTTTTCTTACAGGAAACAGTTAAAGTGTTTTTAAAACACCCTTCAGTGAAAGATGATTCAGACCTAGAAGGAAGAACATCCTTTATGTGGGCAGCTGGCAAAGGCAGTGATGATGTCCTTAGGACTATGCTGAGTTTAAAATCGGACATTGATATTAACATGGCTGACAAATATGGAGGTACAGGTGAGAACTGGTAGACACATTCAATTTGCTTTCATTCAGGTTCCAAAGTGTAGATGTTGCTATAAAACTTGTAAAATAGCAACTTGAAATCTTTGTTCCTAATCTAATATTGTTTGACTTTGGTCTTCAGTTTTAAGTTTGGGTTTGCCAGAATATCACTCCAAAGACTTTATTTCTTCAGTATTATGGCTAAGATTAAAATATGTTTCTACCAAATGAATGGTTGCATTTGGTTGCTCCTTAGACATGATTATGGGGACTCTTCTGATCATTTATCTTTTTGTAAAAAAAACAAAACCTATACTTTAAAACTATCCATATTTCATTGTCATTAATTATATTTTCAAAAATTTAGAATTATATTTAAGGAATGCACACATCTAAGTGTATTCTCAGCAGTCTCCTTTACTGTGCTCTTTTCTCAGGTTTGAATAGCATTACCACATCCTGAATCTCCCATTTTTAGAGATTACCCTCCATGGCTCTAGAAGCTTCAAAGCTTCAAATCAACCTTGCTTGAAAAACTCTTACTAGATGCTTATTTTAATTTCTTTCTCTAATAGGAGAGGCCTTTACCTATGTGTTGGTTAATGAAAGGTAAAGTTTTTCAGCCTCAGTGTCAACTTGGAGGTCTCTTCCTTGTGTACTGTATCCTACTTACAACTCAGAAAGAGAAGGAGAAATTACATACTACTACAATAGCACTGAATAGAATAAAAAATCAGTGATGGGCTTCTCCACGTTATGTTTTTTTATTTGTAGAAACATGCTACAGCCATTTGCATCTACTGTTATCCTGAATAAGATTTTTCTTGGCCACCAAAACTACTGATGCAACAGTAGGGAGAGAGAAGGGAGGGGAGTTGCTTTACTTAAAATCTCCCTCCCTGTACGAAGACAACCGCAGCCTCAAAAAAAATATTTTAAGAAGACAATTCAATTTTATGATAAAGACTTTAACTTTCAAAAGTATTTCTCTATCAAAGCCTTACAGCAGATCTTAAATTTCTTTTTTTTTTAAATGGAGTTTCACTCTGTCACCCAGGCTGGAGTGCAGTGGCATGATCTTGGCTCACTGCAACCTCTGCCTCCCAAGTTCAAGCAAGTCTCCTGCCTCAGCCTCCCAACTAGCTGGGACTATAGGCACATGCCACCAAACCTGGCTAATTTTTTTTTCTTTTTGTATTTTAGTAGAAACGAGGTTTCACTGTGTTGCCCAGGCTGGTCTCGAACTTCTGAGCTCAAGCAATCTACCTGCCTCAGCCTCCCAAAGTGCTGGGATTACGGGTGTGAGCCACCATGCCCGGCCAGCAGATCTTAAATTTCTTAAGGGGCATAGTGCAGACACATAGGATGTTGACTTTATAAATGATCTGAACATTTAATTTTTTGTCAGATTTCCATTATATATTCTTCCACTTTATCACTAGCTTTGATTTTAGTTTAACTTTTTCAGGTATTTGAATAAGGTATGGGCAAGGATCCTTGCACTCTTTGACCAAAAGTATCTTTCTCATTATGCACCATGGTTGAAGTTCAGACATAAATTCTTCTCAGATTCATTAATTTGCTGGTTTCTTTCTTCTGTGGGGATTTTATTATATCAGAGATGCCTTCCTGACATTTCTTTTCTGTGAAAGTGAGTTCTTCTCTATCATCCCTCTACAAGGATTTTTTTTTCCTTCCCATTAAAAAGAGGTGTTACCAATAGCAATATATGGACATTATTTGGATCCTGACTCAAATAAATAAACTATAAAAAATGTTACAGCCATCAGGAAAATGTCAATATTATTGAACATTACAGAATTTCTGTTAGTATTTTTTAGGTGTGATAACAGCATTATGGTTTTACCAGTGATCAAGCTATTGTCTCTCAGCTTTGTGTTTATCCTTTTGTCCTTTCTTTGCAGCGCTGGGCCTGGGGCTCTGCAAATCACATTTCCCCTTTGCCACAGGTACTCTTTTAGAGTCCACCAATAGGGAGCATTGGAGGGAGACTGGAAGACTGGAAAAGGGACAAGGGATTACATCTTTCTGTTTGCGTCCTGCTCTTTTTTCTTGTTTTCTTTTTTTAGGGAAAAAAAATAATAATAATAATAATAATAATAATAATAATAGATGGGATCTCACTATGTTGCCCAGGCTGGTCTCAAACTCCTGGGCTCAAGCAATCCTCCCACCTCAGCTTCCCAAAGTGCTTGGATTACAGGTGTGAGCCACTTGTCCGGCCTGTTGTTGTTTTTATTTCCTGCTATGGTCAGCATCACCCTAGTAATGCTTCTTCAACACAGCAATAGTTTATTTCAGCAAAAACAGTTAATTTCACTCTGCAGGTTTCCAACATTCACAGTGTCAGCCTCAGCACACCCTTGTCAGACACAACAGCACCAGCCAAGCAGAGCCATTCCTCAGAGGTTGAGTTTTCATTCTTCAGGGCTCTTCTAAGCTTTTAGGTTTCAGTAATTTCATCCTCTTCTTTATGTACTCCCAGTGCCAGGATTGGTAGCTATTTCTTGCATTTGCTACCCCCGTGGTACCTTAGTGTTTTCTTTCTGCCTTTTCATTTCTTCAATACAAAGCCAGCAATTATTTATACTGAATTCCATCTATTATATCTGGTATGGTTTCCGTCTTCTGACTGGATCCTAACTGATACAGTGAGGTGTTTAAAAAAAGAATCCTTGTTTTTCAAAGATACTAAAATATTTACAGATGAAAGGATATGACTCTAGAATTTTTTTCAAAACAGTCAGAAGTAGAGGAAATGAATCGTGGTTAAATAAAACAAGATTAGCCACGTACTGATAATTGTTGAAGCTGGGTGATAGCTATATTGAGTTCACTGGACAATTGTCTGCTTTTGAATATGTTTGAAGGTTTCCGTAATATAAAGTTACATTTTAAAAAAATTAAGTTTCTATATAAACTTGCAGTACTTTTCAAAGAAGGAGTAATGCTTGACCTAAGGTTATTTTTAAATAAAGAAAATTCAGGCCAGGTGCAGTGGCTCACACCTGTAATCCCAGCACTTTGGGAGGCCGAGGTGGGTAGATCATTTGAGGTCAGGAGTTCGAGACTAGCCTGGCCAACATGGTGAAACCCCACCTGTACTAAAAATACAAAAATTAGCTGGGCATAGTGGTGGGCATCTGTAGTCCCAGCTACTCGGGAGGCTGAGACAGGAGAATCACTTGAACCCGGGAGGTGGAGGTTGCAGTGAGCCAAGATCATGCCACTACACTCCAGCTTGGGCAACAGAGTAAGACTCTGTCTCAAATAAATAAATAAATATAAAGTAAATTCAAATAGTTATAAATGGGGATTTCTTTTAATATGATCATTAATTTTAACTGTTACTTAACTGAAATTTTATCTTTTTAAAAAATTTGATATTGATGTTATCTATAGAGTATATTTCATACTGGATGCCACATCACAGAATTGTAGCATTTCAGAATTAGAAGTCACCTTAAAACTAAATCTAGCCCAGGGTTTTCCAAACCATGTTCTTCATAACAACGGTTTTCTATAGAGGTACCTGAAATACTTAGCTGAGGGAATAGACAGTCGAGTGGGTAATGCTCCACTTCTGATTTAGTCAGAACCACTCAACTCTTACTTGTTTTATATATTAGGTGTTTTATAAATTTTCATTTGGGGGAAAAGGGTTCTTATGCTCTTAAAATGTGAAATCACTGAAATATCACAGATATTATATGTTGCTTTCATCTGCTTTATGATATTCTCAGCAGTGGTCTTTCAGCCTCTTGTTGAACAGCTCCAATATAGAAAACCCACTACTGCCATCTTAACTCTATTAGAATGTTCTTCCTTATACTGAGCCAAAATTTGTCAAACTGAATGTTCTACCCTGTGCTGTCTTCCATGTGATAGCACTTCAGATATTTGAAGTTACTCATGCCTGTCTGAATCTTGTCTAGGTCAAACTAACATTTAGCCATTTAGGTCAATGGTTCCCAAATTCAAGAATGGCATAAGAATTACTAGAGGTGTTTGTTTAAATTCAGATTCCCAGGCTACATGGACAGAGATTCTATGTCAAATCCTGTAGCAAGTCCTGTTGACTCCACCTCCAAAACGTGTTCTAAATCATTCTGTTTCTCTCCATCTCCATTCCAACCACCCTAGTCAGACCACTATCATTTTTCACTCAGTCTACTGCCGAAATGTTTACTGGTCTCCCTGCTTATATTTTAATCTACTACAAATACATTCTCCTTAGAACAGCTAGAGTCATCTGTTTAAAGCATAAATCAGATAATATCACTCCACTACATAAAGCCCTTCAAATGTCTTCCATCACTGGCCAATAGGACCATTTGTGATCTGGCCTTTTCTACCTTTCTGACTTACTCCACTGTCACTTACTGTGCTGCAACTACCCTTCCTTCCTTAAACACACACAGTCGTTCCTGTCCTGTACTAACTCTTCCTTTGCTCAATAAATAAATAAAACAAGATTAGCCATGTATTGATAATTGTTGAAGCTGGGTGATAGCTATATTGAGTTCACTGGACCATTGTCTACTTTTGAATATGTTTGAAGGTTTCCGTAATATAAAATTACATTAAAAAATTAAGTTTCTATAGAAACTTGCACCACTTTTCAAAGTGGGAGTAACAATAGTTAAGTTCAAGGTTATTTTTATTTTATTTTATATTTTATTTTATTTTTTGAGACGGTGTCTCACTCTGTCTTTTTCATGGTTCAGGTCTCAGCTTAAACATCCACTCTTATGCAAAGCTATCTGTAACCACCAATCAAAAGTAGTCCCTCAGTGATTCTACATATCAAAACAGTTTTTATTACTTTAATTATACCAATTTTCATTATATAATACTTTATTGATGGAGAATTGTTTTGTTTTGCTTTCCTTCCTAGAATGTAACCTTATCTATTGTATTCTATGCTAAACATCCAGCATTATAATACTACTCAGCCCAAAAATCTGCATCCCAGGTTTGCTCCATGGATCACCCTTTATGAAAAAGACACTGTTCTAGGCCTTATAGAGCCGTAATACTTCGAACTGGCCCAGGCATCTGAAGTGTTATTTTGGCTAATTCAAACCTATAGAGGGATGACATAAGCCAAGCATTACAGTGGAGTAACATAGGCAGGAGTCAGTGTAACATGAAACACATTTAATCAAAATTACTCTTTAACATAGGTAGGAGTCAGTGTAACATGAAACACATTTAATCAAAATTACTCTTTAAAACCTCTGGAAGGCACAAGAGAGGAGGCCATATTCCATCTCAGTTTTTCTCCAGTGAAGCAAATTCCTGTTTCTTTTCTTTTCTTTTTTTGAGATGAGGTCTTCCTATTTTCTCCAGACTGGTCTGGACCTCTTGGGTTCCAGCAGTCCTCCTGCCTCAGCCTCCCAAGTAGCTGGGACTATAGACATGTGCCACCTCGCTGTTTCTTAAATTGAGCCCTGGGGAAGTAGCTGGCTTGTATTTGGAGTGATATTGTATTAAAAATGCACTCAATGCAGCAAGATGTACATGCTTTTCAGTACCACTGGGGTACGCAAGCCAATTGAAGGAACAGCACATTTAACCAATGGAAGGAACAGTCTATTGATGTCTCCAGTCACATGATCCCTTAGGGACATGTGCTTATTGAGTGGGTTGTTGGGCAGAATTGTGTACATCATTTAAATCATTTATCTTTGCATTGTTTTCTTGCTGTCTTGAAAGAGAAAAAGAGAAAACCAATAGCTGAAAAGAGAAAACTAGTAGCTTAGAAGGGGATACCATTTCAGACCAACAGGACGGAAAGGAAGAAAATAGCAAGAAGAGAAAGGTAGAAGGAAAGGGGAAAGTGTGAGTGATACATATACATAGGGAGGAAGGCACAATCTAAAAAAGCAAAAAATAAATTAGGGAATCCTTAAAATTGAGATTGCATTTATTCAAAATGATGGGGAAATCAAGAGAAGAAAGGACATATAATAATTTAAAAGGTGAAGTTGTTATTGACTAATTCATCACTTTCTTTTGGTTCCCTTTTAGCTTTGCATGCTGCTGCCCTTTCTGGCCATGTCAGCACCGTGAAGTTATTACTGGAAAATAACGCTCAAGTGGATGCTACTGACGTTATGAAACATACTCCACTTTTCCGAGCCTGTGAGATGGGACACAAAGATGTGATTCAGACACTCATTAAAGGTGGGTTAATAACAGTACTCCTAATAAGTCTCTCTTAATAGGTAGGAATTCTTGCATACTCTGTTTGAGATAAAGCTTTCCTTACCAGAAAGCTGCACAAGTACAAGGATGAAGGGATGATCACCCAACATGGCGTGAGGAACCTCAAGTTCTACTCCTAGCTCCACTTGTTGGGAGTTGCTTGATATAGGAAAAGTCACTTCACCTGCCTGATCCTCAATTTTATTTTATATAAAGCGGGAGTGATTCCTAGCCAGTCCAATTTACAAGCTTATTGTGAAAATCTGAAGTAGACAATGTATGTGGAAGCATTTCCACAAGAATAAAGCATTTAAGGAACAATTCTTATTATTTTACTCTATTCATTTTAATAAATGCATTTAAGGAAGAATTGTGGTTTTTTTACTTCTATTCATTTTAATAAATGCTATTTCTATTAGACATTTTCATTATATTTGTGCTTTTCTAGGTGGAGCAAGAGTAGATCTAGTTGACCAAGATGGACATTCTCTTCTACATTGGGCAGCACTGGGAGGAAATGCTGATGTTTGCCAAATATTAATAGAAAATAAGATCAATCCAAATGTTCAGGATTATGCAGGAAGAACCCCTCTGCAGTGTGCTGCATATGGAGGCTATATCAACTGCATGGCAGTTCTCATGGAAAATAATGCAGACCCTAATATTCAAGACAAAGAGGTAGAAATTCTATGTCTTTTCTATATTAAGTTTGCTCCAAAGAATTTAGAGTATTTCTTCTTTGTTGTAAACATAAGTAAAACAACAGTTTACAAGATGAAGAGATCACCCACAAATCCATCTGTTAATCAAGACTATTATTTGTCCATGTTCTCGTCCAGTATTTTTATATATATATAATTTAACATAGTTATAATATACACTTGAAATAATTTTATGACTTTTATAAAAGATTGCATGGTATACACATGTATGCATGTATAAAAATAAATATATTACATGATTTTCTTTTTCTTTTTTTTAATTATACTTTAAGTTCCAGGGTACATGTGCACAATTTGCAGGTTTGTTACATATGTATACATGTGCCATGTGGGTGTGCTGCACCCATCAACTCATCATTTACATTAGGTGTGTATCTCCTAATGCTATCCCTCCCTGCTCCCCACATCGTGTGTCCAAGTGTTCTCATTGTTCAATTCCCACCTATGAGTGAGAACACACGGTGTTTGGTTTTCTGTCCTTGCAATAGTTTGCTGAGAATGATGGTTTCCAGCTGCATTCCCTACGAAGAACATGAACTCATCCTTTTTTATGGCTGCATAGTATTCCATGGTGTATACGTGCCACATTTTCTTGATCCAGTCTATCATTGATGGACATTTGGGTTGGTTCCAGGTCTTTGTTATTGTGCATAATGCCACAATAAACATACATGTGCATGTGTCTTTATAGCAGCATGATTTATAATCCTTTGGGTATATACCCAGTAATGGGATGGCTGGGTCAAATGGTATTTCTAGTTCTAGATCCTTGAGGAATCGCCACACAGTCTTCCACAATGGTTGAACTAGTTTACAGTCCCACCAACAGTGTAAAAATGTTCCTATTTCTCCACATCCTCTCCAGCATCTGTTGTTTCCTGACTTTTTAATGATTGCCATTCTAACTGCTGTGAGATGGTATCTCATTGTGGTTTTGATTTGCATTTCTCTGATGGCCAGTGATGATGAGCATGTTTTCATGTGTCTGTTGGCTGCATACATGTCTTCTTTTAAGAAGTGTCTTTTCGTATCCTTCACCCACTTTTTGATGGGGTTGTTTGATTTTTTTCTTGTAAATTTATGTAAGTTCTTTGTAGATTCTGGATATTATCCCTTTTGTCAGATGGGTAGGCTGTAAAAATTTTCTCTCCCATTCTATAGGTTGCCTGTTCACTCTGATGGTAGTTTATTTTGCTGTGCAGAAGCTCTTTAGTTTAATTAGATCCCATTTCTCTATTTTGGCTTTTGTTGCCATTGCTTTTGGGTTTTAGTCATGAAGTCCTTGCCCATGCCTATGTCTTGAATGGAATTGCCTAGGTTTTCTTCTAGGGTTTTTATGGTTTTAGGTCTAACATTTAAGTCCCTAATCCATCTTGAATTAATTTTTGTATAAGGTGTAAGGAAGGGATCCAGTTTCAGCTTTCTACATATGGCTAGCCAGTTTTCCCAGCACCATTTGTTAAATAGGGAATCCTTTCCCCATTTCTTGTTTTTGTCAGGTTTGTCAAATATCAGATGATTGTAGATGTGTGGTATTATTTCTGAGGGCTGTGTTCTGTTCCATTGGTCTATGTCTCTGTTTTGGTACCAGTACCATGCTGTTTTGGTTACTGTAGCCTTATAGTATAGTTTGAAGTCAGGTAGCATGATGCCTCCAGATTTGTTCTTTTGACTTAGAATTGTCTTGGCAGTGTGGGCTCTTTTCTGGTTCCATATGAACTTTAAAGTAGTTTTTTCCAATTCTGTGAAGAAAATCATTGGTAACTTGCTGGGGATGGCATTGAATCTATAAATTACCTTGGACAGTATGACCATTTTCACGATATTAATTCTTCCTATCCATGAGCAAGGACGGTTCTTCCATTTGTTTGTGTCCTCTTTTAGTTCATTGAGCAGTGGTTTGTAGTTCTTGAAGAGGTCCTTCACGTCCCTTGTAAGTTGGATTCCTAGGTATTTTATTCTATTTGGAGCAATTGTGAATGGGAGTTCATTCATAATTTGGCTCTCTGTTTGTCTGTTATTGGTGTATAGGAATGATTGTGATTTTTGCCCATGGATTTTGTATCCTGAGACTTTACTGAAGTTGTTTATCAGCTTAAGGAGATTTGGGGCTGAGATGATGGGGTTTTCTAAATATACAATCATGTCATCTGCAAACAGAGACAATTTGACTTCCTCTTTTCCTAATTGAATACCCTTTCTTTCTTTCTCCTGCCTGATTGCCCTGGTCAGAAGTATATTGAATAGGAGTGGTGAGAGAGGGCATCCCTGTCTTGTGCCAGTTTTCAAAAGGAATGCTTCCACTTTTTGCCCATTCAGTATGATATTGGCTGTGGGATTGTTATAAATAGCTCTTATTATTTTGAGATACATTCCATCAATACCTAGTTTATTAAGATGTTTTAGCATGAAGGGGTGTTGAATTTTATTGAAGGCCTTTTGTACATCTACTGAGATAATCATGTGATTTTTCTCATTGGTTCTGTTTATATGATGGATTACGTTTATTGATTTGCATATGTTGAACCAGCCTTGCATCCCAGGGATGAAGCCAACTTGATCGTGGTAGATAAGCTTTTTGATATGCTACCGGATTCGGTTTGCCAGTATTTTATTGAGGATTTTCGCATTGACGTTCATCAGGGATATTGGTCTAAAATTCTCTGTTTTTGTTGTGTCTCTGCCAGGCTTTGGTATCAGGATGATGCTGGCCTCATAAAATGAGTTAGGGAGGATTCACTCTTTTTCTATTGATTGTAATAGTTTCAGAAGGAATGGTACCAGCTCCTCTTTGTACCTCCGGTAGAATTCAGCTGTGAATCCATCAGGTCCTGGACTTTTTTTGGTTGGTAGGCTATTAATTATTGCCTCAATTTCAGAACCTGTTATTGATCTATTCAGGGATTCAATTTCTTCCTGGTTTAGTCTTGGGAGGGTGTATGTGTCCAGGAATTTATCCATTTCTTCTAGATTTTCTAGTTTATTTGTGTAGAGGTGTTTATGGTATTCTCTGATGGTAGTTTGTATTTCTGTGGGATCGGTGATAATATCCCCTTTATCATTTTTTATTGCATCTATTTGATTCTTCTCTCTTTTCTTCTTTATTAGTCTTGCTAGCGGTCTGTCAATTTTGTTGATCTTTTCAAAAAACCAGCTCGTGGATTCATTTATTTTTTGAAGGGTTTTTTGTGTCTCTATCTCCTTCAGTACTGCTCTGATCTTAGTTATTTCTTGTCTTCTGCTAGCTTTTGAACGTGTTTGCTCTTGCTTCTCCAGTTCTTTTAATTGTGATGTTAGGGTTTCAATTTTACATCTTTCCTGCTTTCTTTTGTGGGCATTTAGTGCTATAAATTCCCTCTACACACTGCTTTAAACGTATGCCAGAGACTCTAGTATGTTGTGTCTTTGTTCTCATTGGTTTCAAAGAACATCTTTGTTTCTGCCTTCTTTTCATTATGTACCCAGTAGTCATTCAGGAGCAGGTTGTTCAGTTTCCGTGTAGTTGAGCGGTTTGGAGTGAGTTTCTTAATCCTGAGTTCTAATTTGATTGCACTGTGGTCTGAGAGAGAGTTTGATGTAATTTCTGTTCTTTTAGATTTGCTAAGGAGTGTTTTACTTCCAACTATGTGGTCAGTTTTGGAATAAGTGTGATGTGGTGCTGAGGGGGTGGAGAGTTCTGTAGATGTCTTTTAGGTCTGCTTGGTGAAGAGCTGAGTTCAATTCCTGGATTTCTTTGTTGACTTTCAGTCTCGTTGATCTAATATTGACAGTGGGGTGTTGAAGTCTCCCATTATTATTGTGTGGGAGTCTAAGTCTCTTTGTAGGTCTCTAAGGACTTGCTTCATGAACCTGGGTGCTCCTGTATTGGGTGCATATATATTTAGGATAGTTAGCTCTTCCTGTTGAATTGATCCCTTTACCATTATGTAATGGCCTTGTCTCTTTTGATCTATATTTGTTTAAAATCTGTTTTATCAGAGGCTAGGACTGCAACCCTGCTTTTTTGTCATTGTTGTTTTCCATTTGCTTGGCAGATCTTCCTCTGTCCCTTTATTTTGAGCTTGTGTGTGTCTCTGCATGTGAGATGGGTCTCCTGAATACAGCACACTGATGAGTTTTGACTCTTCATCCAGTTTGCCAGTCTGTGTCTTTTAATTGGAGCATTTAGCCCATTTACATTTAAGGTTAATATTGTTATGTGTGAACTTGATCCTATCATTATGATGTTAGCTGGTTATTTTGCTCGTTAGTTGATGCAGTTTCTTCCTAGCATTGATGATCTTTACATTTTGGCATGTTTTTGCAATGGCTGGTACCAATTGTTCCTTTCCATGTTTAGTGCTTCCTTCGGGATCTCTTGTAGGGCAGGCCTGATGGTGACAAAATCTCTAAACATTTGCTTGTCTGTAAAGGATTTTATTTCTTCTTCACTTGTGAAACTTAGTTGGGCTGGATATGAATTTCTGGGTTGAAAATTCTTTTCTTTCAGAATGTTGAATATTGGCCCCCACTCTCTTCTGGCTTGTAGAGTTTCTGCCGAGAAATCTGCTGTTAGTCTGATGGGCTTCCCTTTGTGGGTAACCCGACCTTTCTCTCTGGCTGCCCTTAACAGTTTTTTCTTCATTTCAACTTTGGTGAATCTGACTTATGTGTCTTGGAGTTGTACTTCTCGAGGAGTATCTTTGTGGTGTTCTCTGTATTTCCTGAATTTGAATGTTGGCCTGCCTTGCTAGATTGGGGAAGTTCTCCTGGATAATATCCTGAAGAGTGTTTTCCAACTTGGTTCCATTCTCCCCATCACTTTTAGGTATACCAATCAGATGTAGATTTGGTCTTTTCACATAGTCCCATATTTCTTGGAGGCTTTGTTCGTTTCTTTCTACTCTTTTTTCTCTAAACTTCTCTTCTCGCTTCATTTCATTCATTTGATCTTCGATCACTGATACCCTTTCTTCC